GATATTTTTAAATAGTAATATATAGTTTAATATAGTATATACAGTAGAATCGCGATAGTTGGAAATGGCAAAGGGATTGGTTTTTTTTTCGATTTACACAGAAATCAAATTATGGAGAATTATTAATACCGAATTTCTTTCAGGGGAAGGTAATTTAATTTATCGCGATTTTCGATTTAGCAGGGTTCGAATTATCGAGACTCCACTGTAGTAGTAGATCTTATTGTTTTGCAGTCAGTCCATCATCTGATTGTGCAACAGTTTTGATTCCACACCCATGTGTATCCTCATCTAAAGGAACTACTAAATCATAGAAATGATTTTCCCGTTACAAAACTACATTGATGGACTCTAACGGGATTAAGAATCTTTTGTTCAGCTTCAGCTGTTGCATTTTTTGAGTAAATAATTTCTCCTTAAATCCAACGAGTGTTAAGAATATATTTTTGTTTTCTTAAACAACATATTTTCTATTCCTCAATATTTAATAGAGTATGCATATGCATTTCCTTCAAAGCGCATCGAAATGTCTGAGAGCAGCAAAACAAATAGACCTAATCTCGAACATAAATCGTGCTACAGCAACAATAATTGCACTGCCAAACGACGACGATGACGACGACGACGACAACAGCTCAAACTCAGAAAGTTCGTCTCGAACGATGCTCAATCTGTTGTGCTGGCCGGGCTTGGATGTCACCTAAAATTTGGTAGCCTTGACTGGACTGGCAGTGTGGAGTGTCGTTAGCTGTTAACTGGAAGCGAGGCGGGCTTTGCCAAAGTTAACAATGCCTGGCACAAAGGACACTCGTTGAATGACAAAGAAGTGCTTAGCCTTTGGCAACAGGCGGCAATCACGCAAAACTGGGCGACAAACAAACAGCACAGCACACAGACTACAGACATAGGCTACACACAGCCAGCCACATAAGTAGTTAGCCAGACACATGGCACGGCACGGCACATGGCATAGAGAAAGCCAGCCAGCCAGACAGACGGACGGACGGACGGACAGAGAGAAGGCAAGCCTCTGGCTGCCAAAAAGCCAACAAAAAAGCCGTCGACGTTTGCGGTGCTTGTGGATAGCGTAAGCTTAGCATCGGATTGCCAAGGCATTTGGCCCAGCCGAGCACCGTCCTCTGATGCCGTCCGCTGCTTGCTTTGAGTCGCTTCCAAATTTAAAGGATTTTCCGCCACAATCCGCAGCCATAGTTAGTTAGTTAAAAGAGAAAGCAAAAAAAAAAAAAAAAAGCAAAAGTATAGAAAGAGTTTCGCACTTACTGCCCGATCCACGATCCCGGAATGCTGTATAGAGAATGGCGAATGTTGAATTAATCGCACTTTGCTCCGCGTAAAATCGCATGTGCAGAATGTTTGACTCCGCCGTAATGCTCTCGCCCGCCGATCCGCAAAAGTTCTTCACTCTGCAACGAATTGGCAAATGTTTAGATATTTCGAGAAATATATCAAATTTCACTTTATTTCACTTTGTGCAGCTTATGAATTATGCATGTGCATGCACACATGCTTAAAAATATATATATGTATGCATATTTTGTAAGTCTATCTTAAACTCTAGCAGCATGTTCTTTGTGGAATTGATTAACATTTGTAGCTAAACATTTAACGCATACGACTCAAAATGGAAAATTGAGGGCATAAAGTGTGGGCGTGGCATGTCCATGTACTTAAGTTGTTTTGAAATGCATTCAATGTGAACGGACGGGCGGCCACACGGCCCAAACCAATACGTCGTCTGCCAAATTGTTACGAAAAATGAATTTAAATAGAAATTGTGGCAACGACCAGAGCCGGAGCCAGAGCCGAGCGGAGCGCCAACAACAACATCAAGGGCCAAAACCAAATCCTGGCTGACGAAGCCGACAACTGTATACACTAACTGAGCGAGAAGAGCTTGTATGAGATCTAAGTTAACTAAGGTATCGAGACTTGAACTTCAGTTACAATAATCATCGATGCTTGTAGAAAGGCCGAGACTCTCTTTATCTTTGTCAATGCGCAAATGTGTTAGCTCCGCCTTTTGTATGTAATTTGAATGCCTTGCGTTAGGGTACAACCAGCAGCAAATCAATGGCCCCAGCCGACGAGACAGGCGGCTTCATCTAGACGGCCAGTCAATCACATTGAGTGGTGCTGTCATTGCCGTTGCCGTCGCCGTCGCCGTTGCCGTTGGCCCCGACGCCCATCAGCGAGCGCACAAAAGCCCGAACCCTAGAGTTGACTCTAAAATCGAATGGCATTGCAAGTGTTGAAGTTGTTGCTGAAGTTGGCCGGGGAAAGGGAAAACAGGCGAGCAAGCAACAAGTGGAAATTTGCTGGCGTGTTGAAAGCGACAGAAGGCTGAGAAAGGGAGGGACAGAGAGAGGGAGAGAGGGAGAGAAAGGCTGTGCCTGGCACATGGTAAATGGTAAATGGTAAATCGCTATGGATGGGTAGACGCTGCCGTCGTCGGCGTTCGGCTGGTGGCACAAAACAATTCCAGTTGGGCGAGTCAAAGGCGACGCCGCCGCCGCCGCCGTCGCCACTGACGCCGCCGCAGCTTCCGCTGTCATACAATTTACTTGGGCCGGTAATAAATTGAAATTTTGCTTTACATGCTTTGATCTTTGCAGCGTTGGAAAACGCTTTTTGGCTGACTTCACATTGTGGCGCATTCGTGAAGCGGAAATTGGTTTGTGGCACTGGGATTGCGTATCCCAATGCCACTCCCAATCCCAATCCCAATCCGAATCCCACTCCCCATCCCATCCCCAATCCCAGTCCCAGCCCGACCTAACTAAAGCCAACACAGCCAATTCGCTGGGATGTCTATTAACTCTTACCTTAATGGCATCACTGTTTGCTCGGGGAATATATCCAAGAAGTTTGTTTCGCAGTCGTTCGGCTTGCTTAGATGAAAGTCCAGAAATTTCAAAAATATCTAAGAGAAAGCAAAAAGAATGAAGGAGAGAGGGAAATATAGAGAGTGAGTGAGTGAGTGAGTGAGAGAGAGAGAGAGAGAGAGCGAGAGAGGGGAAGAGGATAAAGCACACAAATGACAAATTGATATATTTGATTGAAATGGAAACGCGCTCACCTTCCAGTTGTCCTTCACCTGGATACGCCAAATGCAGTCGAGAGCAATCTTGTCGCGTATCACCTGCTCCCTTATTTCAGCTGGGACATCTGTTGAATTAATGAAGCCCTCGTAGCCATCCTTCTCGATGGTGCAATTGAGATCCGTGCTGGGCGCCTCACGATTCCTATCCAAAAACTCAAAGACCGCACTGAAGCCCGTATACTCGATGGTGTCGTCCGAGTGGAAGTGCAGCCACAGATACCGCTCCTTCGACGTTATCTCCGGCGGGAAGTCGGTGCCGCAGTATTTTCCAATTAGCGTCGAGAAGCCATACTGCCCATCGCGTATCTGCAAAGGGCAACCAAAAGCATTCACAACATGATTGACTGAACGAAAAGCAAAGACGACTTGAATTTTCGCTACTTTCGCTTCCCTTTGATTCTTTAATTTTTTTTTTTTTTTTTTTTTTTTTGCACGTTGGCCATTCAAGGTAATGTCAGTTGGCAGCTCGAACTGAAGCCGGAGCGCGATATTAAATTCCAGTAACATTAAGCTCAAACTCTGCCCAGGTGACAACTGACAGCTGCCTCTCAATTGGGCCCATTTGGCTGTCAAGGCGAGCAGACTTGTCCCGCAGCCTAACGAGCCATAAAAAACATGAGCAATTGGACATGATTTTAACTGAATGATTAATCAGGTCAAATCATATTACAATTACTCAGATTAACAACGGGCTCTGAATACAACTTGTTCAAGGCAATTTAAGTGAGATGACAAATGTTTTGCAAGCATTATTCATCAGGTTTGAGAAAAGCAAAGCTCTTCCAGTAAATGTAAAAAAATATAAATAAAAGAATAAGACAGAACTGGGACTGGAACTGCCCGACTGGGATATACCCTATACCCTACAAAGAGCTAATAGTTTACGGTTCTTTTAGACATACATTGCAATTAAGTCCGTAATTAAACGACAGATGGTTAGACGAATGGGCCAGACGGATTGATGGGTAGGCAGGCAGGAAAAATGGAGACACGGGCAGTCAAGCAGAAGAACGATGAGCTGGCGGACAGATGAACGGACGGATCGAGGGACAGATATATCCACGAATAGACGAGCGGACGGACAGATAAACGGACGGACAAGCTGACGGACCAACAAGCGGAAGAACAAGAACAGACGAATGGACAGACAATAGAGCGGACAAATTTACGGACGGACAGAAAGAAAGACGGAAGCACAGACGGAACGACGGACGGAACAATCAAACAGAAAGCCGAATAAACGAAAAGACGGATGGACAGACAGATGAATCGACACACGGACGGACAGATAGACAGTTCGACAGGCAGAAAGACGGACGGAGCTACTAATGAGTGGACAGAAATACGGATGTTAAGTCAGACAGACGGACAGGTGTAAATCGACTCAACTCAGCTCTTTACCTCGACCAAGAATACATATACTTCTTCTCCTGTAGCCTGTTTCGTCCAATTTAGCAATTGGATTTCGATTGTCAATGGGCTCAGAGAATAAATATAAAATTGATTCAAATTAAATAATCAAAAATCAATTTTTGCCCTGTATTAGCTGTAATTTCGTTTCGCTCAGCTTAACGAATGAATACTTAAAGCCTGTTGGCCTGTGTAATCAGCTCTTCGACTAAAAATCAATTTAAATTGCGGCAAGCATAAAGAAAACGCCCCGTCATCTGTCTTGAAATGGGAGTCTTGAGCTGAAAGTGTGACAAAGTTCACACGCTTTAATTAGTTCGGCTCATGTAAGCCGCATGATTAGGCAAAAATTAGCTCCTGAGCTGTTCAATTTGTTCATAAATAGGAAATGTGTGAGGCGTAACGCAAATCATATTTCAATTAGTTGTTTTGCATCTTTTCTCAATTCTTCTTCTCTTCCCTCTCGCTGGCTGTGAAGAACTAATTAAAATTATATTCCAATTAACAGCAGCTGACGCAGAATGTGCACACTTTTCATGCAGCTATATGTTTGACATTTGTTTTGGAGATGAAGTTTTTCTCGGTGGAATTGCACATACGACACGTGAGCCGCCGCTGCTGTAATGTTAACTTTCAATTAAGGCAAGGCCAAAGGATTTGTCTGCCRAGCACACACACTCACAGCAGCAGCAGCAGCAGCATCACAACAAAGTCAACAATTTGTAAACATTTTTTTCCCCCTTCCCGAAATGAGAGCAAGCTGCGTCTTATGTCAGCAGCAACATTGTATTTGTTATGCAAATGCAGCATCTTTTTTGATCTCATTCTTATTTTTTGTTATCCCTGCACTTGCTTACCTCGAGAAAATCAAATTTGCACTCCTCCTTGGCCTCAATATTGAACGAGTTGCGAAAATCCAGCCTTATAATTTGTCCCTTCGGCGCTGTAATTAAATTAAATAGTTTACCAGATTAGTTATATACATAGTATGTATATATATATGTATATATTGTATGTGCGCCTCTTCTAATATGTGTTAATTTTCCCTAAATATCGATCGAATCCATCCATCCAACAGCTTAAGGCTTCTGTTTCCATTTTGGCTCAACTGCCTCAAAGCCTATAAATATTTACAATAAAAACAAAGCTCAGGGCTGAGTTTTAACACTGCATAACAAAAGGTCTGAGGATATGCATATTTAAATAGCAGCTGGAGCTTGAAACGATGCTATCGCATATTTATATATTCATTTACGGTGCTAAAAGTCACCAACAAAAATAACAACAACAATGGAATTTTGCCAGCTAAGCTGAGTTTTTAGTCTTGAAGTTTGTAAAATCATTGAAAAAGTTTTAATTCTTTCTCGTTCACTGTCGTGTCATAAGTTCCAAAATATTTGAACTGCTCTCTTTTGGTTTTTATCTGACAATGACTTAATTCTTCAGTTACTTCGGTGGACATACAGTAAACGAGCTGAGGGAGAGAGAAAGAGAGAACGATCGCAGGGAGAGGGATGGAAAAATAGGGAAAGGAACATAAGGAACGAGCTAGTTGCGGGACACATAGAAAGAGGAACTTATGAAGAGAAACTTAAGGAGAAGAGGATCATAAGGATAGGAACATAATCAGAGTTACATAGGGTGAGGAACACAGGGAGACGAACATAGGTAGATGAGCTTTGAAAACGGAACATAGCGAAAGGAACAAACGCTGACGACTGCAGGCAGGAAGCGAAAGGAACAAACGCTGACGACTGCAGGCAGAAGAATATAAGTTTGGGAATAGAGGGTGAGGAACATAGAGGATCTTAGGGAAAAGAAACAATTAGAGGAACATGGGGACAGGAACATAAGCAGGGGAGAAGAGGGTGAGGAGCACAAGTAAGGGAACATAGAGAAGAACGAATGCACAGGAAGAACGAAAAATTTCACTCAAAATGCCCTCCTTAATGATTGTAACATGCAAGAACAAACTATGCTCGTCCTACATATCGGCACACTATTATATTTTTCTCGTCCAGCTAAGCTTACATTCCTGATATATAGTTTCTAGACGTATTAATAATATAATAAATATTCAATAAAACATCATTGACTAATATAAATATACGTTCTGAGGCTATGTTCACTTCAATATGATATATATTTTTTTTTTTTTTTTTTCACAAAAAAAATTCGAAATTCACATTGCTGGAATGCATTTAAAGCAAATCAAATGTGTTTGCACTTAAATTACTGTTGCCTCTACTGTTGTTCTATGAGGCAATTGAGTACAGATCAGACAACAACAACAAAAACAACGTTCTTTTATTAAGCATACGAGTCTTTCAGCTAGCTGAAAGCATGCTAAAATATTTTGAGCCAAGAGGTCTTCAAGAAGCAGCCGGACAATCTGTGTCGGCAGATGAGCTAAAGGGCTGATAACGACTCTGGGCACGCGTCAATGGACAGTTATGTAAGACTTGAAAAGGCGCACAGCAACACACACACACACACACACAGAGACACGCAGACTGGCTGACACAATAGCCTATAAAAGAGAGCTGCAACTGCGAGCCACAGTCTACGTCTGGGATATTCTTTGGCTCAGCCACACACACACACACACACACACATACAGATAGAGTCCAGCCTCAACATACTATAACATAATGGAACTGTAATGAAAGTGTAAATCACAGAGGTTTGGCCAAACAAATGCGATGTTTGTGCGCTCACATTGAATGCGAATGGGGATTTGCTAGCTGATTGGCCTTGATACAGCCACACAAGCTAAGAGAGACTGAGACCGAAATGAAAGGAAGCTCAGTCTCTGGCCCCTCTTCAGAGACTACTACACATCATCCTACTCCTCCTCCTCCGCCCAGCCTCTCTCATGTGTGCTGGCATAGTAATTTGGGGCTTTTGAATAGCATCTGCTCAAACAAATTGCAGACCCAATGAAAAACTAACCACAAAGCTGCCGTTGGCCAATTGATAGACAAAGGCGAAGCCATTCTAATTTTGTTTGCCTCTAAAATTATTATTAGGCCCATCCATTTGTAATGCTGTATGTGTGTGCACAGACGAGCATTAATCTGTATGCAGATGCATGTGTGTCCTCTGTCCAGGTAGTGTTTCGAAGGCACCTGTAATAGGTAAGCCTCTGCTTCGACTTGTTAATTGAAATCTAAGGCTGGCTTAGTTCCAAAACCTGAAACTCTCTGTCGAGCTACTTCTGCATACATTTCAGCCTAATCGCTGTGCATATATGCACACATACACATGASCTGTGCTTTTTCTTCTTCTTCATTTAAGGCTCGGTTACTATGTGGTTCGATCGCATTGAAATTAGGCTTTGAATAATACATCAGAATGTGCATATGAGTTGAAATGGAAGCCCTTGACTTCAAATGTATAATGACTGGAAAGCTAGTTAGTTAAAGGAGTGAGGGAGAGAGAGAGAGAAAGATAGAGAGAGAGTACTGCATACCTGTGCAGAGCTTCTATAAGTCTTAATACCAAATCGTTTGAGTCGTATGCATCAAAAGCTAATGTCTGATAGCAATTGTTATAGATCTTATGAAATGGTTAAAGAACTATGGAAATTTTGTAACAAACCTCTGACAGAAAGCGGACATACCTTGATTGACTTGTGTGCTTATCAGATATTCTACTGTATGTACGGTTATAGCGACTCCGCTAATATCGTCCATACGCTCGTTCTTTACTCATTGCGCTGCTAGCGCAGCAGGACTGCGCTTATGGGCTTTATTATGCGAGCTTAATTGTTGACCAACTTTACTTTTAGCTGAACTTTTTTACTCACATTTTCAGAGCGTAACAATGACATTCATATGTGTGCATTTAGTACTTGTATGCCTTTGAGTTTAGGCGTACAGGGGAGGTATACAAATTAAATATATTAAATCTGTGAGTTCTTTACTGGAACAACCACAGCAAATTGGAAATACTACTTGCTATTGTAGTATTTAAAATAATGAAACATTTTTATCGATAATAAGGAAATAGGAAAATCAAAGTAAGCTGGGCCTGCGTATTGAATCTAGAAATATATATTGAAAATTTCATGTTCCTAGTTTATGTAGCTTACGAGATCGTCGTGTTGACCTCAATGGACAAATGTAGGTAGATTTCAGCAATAGACGGAGGAATGGAAATACAGAAAGACCGACGTCAAGAATAATAGCTGTATATATTATTTGTGGTCTGCCACGCCTACTTCAGCCGCTTACAAATGCATTTCACAAAACCAATATCAATATCAATATCACACAAAGTCTGGTACATTTATTATCCATGCCCATATATCATATAAGGTACAAGTTCAATTCAATTACCTTTACAGAAATTCAACTCCGATTGACTTTTGAGTCAAGTGAATATAATAACATGCTATAAGTAGTATTCACATTCATATCAATTACTCTATCATTTTTATTGCAATCTTCAGGATTTGTTACAATGGACTCATTGAAATTTGCAATTGTCAATTTAAATACTATTTGTTGGGAATTATTGATGTAGCCATATATTTGCTGCTGGGACTTGTTAAAGATAACTAAATTAACAGCAATTGACTTGCACAACTGCGAAGTTGTCAGTGCTCACACACACACAAACACACACCGTACCAGAGGGAATAACAGTGAATGTATATGTATATAAATATGTATGTAGATATGCCGCACGTTCGCTACTAATGCAGCCGCTTAACAGTCTGAGAGCCTAGCATTAGACAGCAGCCAGAAGGCAACATGTCCGACTCGCATACAGGCAACGTCTATCGCCCGACCGCACTCATATTGTTATGCAAATAAGCCTGCCACTCCCTATGGCAGTTGTCGGTCTATCTTTCCATCTATCTATCTTTCTAGCCTGTCTGTCTTATCGAGCACACACACACACACACACACACACACATACACATTCACTGCAGATACTGTGAATCGTCTCTGATGATGGCATTCGCTGATGCGTGCCTATGGAAAGTCAATCATTTCATACGCTTTAGGTTTTATCTGAGCTGCTCGGCTTGCAGTCATGTTGTTGCTCGCATTTTGTCTTAACTGACAAATGAATTTGGCCCTGTTTACAGATAAGCGCCAGGCCAAAACCCAGTGAAGCGCAACGCCAGCAAATATGATGACTGCCAAGCCGCTGCCGCTTGCGACGCCGAAGCCAAAGTCAAAGCCAAAAGCAAAAGCCCCACATGTGCTACACCCCATTACCACCGCACTCCCACACTGCCCATTGCCAGCCCTGTCGAGGAACAGTAACTGAAATCGAATCTCTGCCTCAATTCAAAACGCATTTGGAGGCCATCAGGCTAACACGCGAACGCTTTTAATAGCAATGCGGCTGCATCTACTTCAATCTGCAATCTATTTAACTGACTCGCTGACTGACGGGCTGAACTCTGACTGGCATCTGGAATGTCAACACAATGGCTGCATCCTCGCTAAGACTTGCAATTATTTGCAGTAAGTAGCGCGCCGGCAGCAAAGTGCTTGCCATATCAACTTTTACGAGTCTCTCGCACACTCCGCACTCACTAAGTGCTCTACACACATGCCGCAGCTTCTTGGCCGTGAATTGGCTGGCATAAAGCTAAGCCAAGCCATTGCCTGCAGCCGGTTGAAAAGTCTATGCGAATCGTGTCGAATCGAAGCGAAGGGTTGAGCACTCAATGGAACCCTTCACTCATTATCATATTACGAATTTATTTTTGCATATAAATTGCACATGTATATTTATCTTTGCTAAGACCCTTGGCCTTTACATACAATATTTGATATCCACAATGAATACATTAGACGGCGCATTGGCCTATTCATTCATGTAACTCATTTAACATTAAATAAATTTATAGACATAAATCATTTGGCAAAGTTTCATGTGAACAGTTCGATATGGCTCTATCTAAGTCTATATGACGTATGATGTAACTTGATCATATATGAGTTGCTTTATAGAGCCGTCAGAGTTGTCTATAGAATATGCCGCTCAACTGAATAGGCTTAACATATTCTACTCAACAAAATCTTTGATTTGAATAATTTGCTTGAAATGATGAAAGTGATTGACTTGAAATGAGAAAATGAAAATATTGAATGATTTGAGTAAACTAAACTTTTGTATATTTCAAATTTAAACAACTACGAAATAAGAACACAATTGCCTGTACTGAATTAAATAATTAATCAATTTATTTATTTGTATACGATTTTTC